CCCCCCCCCCCCCCCCCCAAGAAAAATCGGAAAGCCAACCAGGAAATAATAAGAATACGAAAACGTCCTATATCTATAATTGATATTGTCTAATCTTTGACAGTCTTCAACATGTGAATAATTTTTTAATTAAATTAAATATAAATAAAAACATGATAAAATCAGCAGTTTCTTTAACATACTGTAAAGAAAAGTGCTGACTTTATTATGTTTTTTAGTTATTTAGTTTAATTAAAAATTTATTTTTATTTTCCATTTCTAACATTGTTTTGATTACTCACTTCCTTATCAGTAAAATGAGTTTTATCTTTTTCTTGTTCTGGCGTTAAGTGTAGTACTTTTTCTTCAGCGTTCGTATGATTTTTCAGGACATATCGTTGAATATCTAAATTTTCCCAACAAATTAAAGTTTCGACGCTACCCAATTCCAAGGCTCTCAACGTATCTTCTACACCAAAACAATATTTGCCAGTTTCTTGAGAAATTTCATCAAAGTAGCGCCCTAAATAAAACAGAAATCCAATATAAATATGTATTATTAAATACATATATATTACATAATATTACATTACATTTTAATCAACATATAAATATTTACCGATTAATTTTTTCTCTTGAATAAACTTTACATTTTGCAAAGATTCGGCCGCTAATTCAATAGCTTGATTAAAACCATTTTCGCCACCATATGATACATCAACTAGCTTTATAACCTTAGCTTGCAATCTCTGAAAAAAAAATCATGTATTAAAGAAACTAATAAGTTAGAAAGCTAATTAAAGAAACAATCTGTTTTTTATTTCTATAACATATTATCACTATAACACAAATGTATTCAGAAAAATTAATTGTAAATAATGGAGATTTTGGAAAATTAACAACACCAAACAGTTCGAGATCGGTTCCTGGACTTGCTGTCCGCATAAATATAACACAAAGAATATTCAGCAAAAACATTCCACTCTGATAAAAATAATGCCTACGAGATATAAATTTAATCTCAAAATAGAGATAAGCGAATACTATCATTTTTGGAAATCTTCAAATAATAATTGTTCAATTGATGATGTTTATCATAATCACAAATTATGAAATATGATAAACGTTATTCAACAGTAATAAATAATTTTAAAAAGCAGATTTTTAGAATAAAGGTTGGAAATAAAGCTTGTGATCCCTTCGCATAAAAATTATAATAAAATCAAAAAGATTTAGCTTTTGCCAAAGCATTGTCCGTGACATAATAAAACAACGGAAAATGCGATCTTCTAAAAAAAATCTTTCTAAAAAGAATTTTGCTTACTGGATCGAACATATCGGATTGACTAAGTTCCGTTTTAAAATCGGCACTACCCGCAAGGATCAATCCAGCGATGTTAGGTTTGTCGTTTGTGATATATAATTGAGTAGCGACTTCAGCTACTTTTCGAACATAATTATGCCGTTTTTCCATGCGTAATCGGGCAAAACGCAATGCAGATTGACCACCTCTGCCTGAAATCAATATTTTCTTTGTGACATATATCTTTTTTTCAAAAAGTCGGGTGGCTCGGTGCTCGGTCCACGAACTACTAATCCGTGGATCCGAGTTCGATCCTATCCACGCCTCACATATGCAGGATTTTTTCTGCATTTAAGTTACTCAATATGAGTAAGAATCCCAATTGTGTCTTGGATTAAGGAACATAACTATTATATCGATTACGTTTCCTCCTGATTAAAAAATAAGTTTAAAGTTGAAGTTTGATATAAAGTTCATTTCACAATTGCGTAAACATGGTTATAAGTGATTGTAATTGTAAAAATTAATCAATCGCAATCAAATATGAGGAAAATCTTTGACTATGATTAGTCAATTCTTACAATTACAATCACTTATAACTACACTTATATAATTGTAGGTTTAAGGCTTAAAAGTTAGTTGATAACTTGTTATTGACCAATTTGGCTACACTTGAAGAACCGAGGGTCAATTAAAGAACAAGGAAAAAAAACATACATCTTTGATATCAATATCTTATATTGATTAAACAAACAATAATGACAAAATTGGGATAAAAACAAAAATCTTTTCCAATTTCTCTTACTTACCATGTTTCTTGGGAAGATCTACGGTGAATTTATGTAACACCTCGCGGGTGTTACCTTGCAGCGTTCCAAATAACGCTCCATTACCATCCATTACAATAAAACCAAATTTGTTATCATCTGCGAGTAATGCCGTGAGTGCTTCTGTGTGAAACTATAAAACGCAATGTAATTTGTGTAAAAAATCATATTTCTTATATCACATTTGCGAAAATAAACACACCTTATTATCACAAAGATATAAAGATGTATTGATAGGTTTGAAAGGCTCAAAATCGATGTTGACTTTTTTTTCTTTTCCTTCTTCTGTTACAATAGTTCCACAATAAATTACCAGGCCATTTGGAGGCACTAAAAGACATTAATATGCATAAATAACGCATGATTAATGTTCAATATATGAATGATATCTAATCTGACTCAAAAGTTAATCACGAAACATAATTTTACATTAAAAAGAGTCAAACACTGTAAGTGTATACAATTCCTATATTCTTATTGATATTGATATATATATATATATATATATAGATAAAAATCAATTACCTTTTGTATATAGCTTTAGCCTATGCTGCACCGATGTGATTGCACCCAAAACAGATAATCTATTTACACGTGACTTAATGTTCGACGCTGTACCGAATTCATCCGCCAGCATCTTGCTCACTCTCGATATTTGGTCCTTTGGAGGTATGATTAACGAAATCATACTCGTGCCATTCCTGTAAAGACAAACACGTCAACCTTCCACAAGTATGCCGCAGAGATAATTAAAAGACAATTTTGGAAAAATCCACTTATATAAGACGAGACTTATATACATTTTCCACGATAAATTCCAGTAACGTCTGTCAGTTGCAACAAAAGCGGTTCTTGTATGGGATCCAGAAGCCCAAATTGCGGAACTTGGTGAATGAGCACATGGTTCGCCAAGCCATATGTCAAGGAAATTCGTGCAGTGATAACGGTAACAGCTGACAGCACAAAACGCGAGGACTTTGGAGCCGACCTACTTACCCTCTGGCCATCTCGAGACTCTTTATGAGCTTCTTGATTTTCCAGATCTCGACGTTGCGGTCGGCGGAGGTCTCCTCGTTCGACATCGCTGCGGATGTGCGTGGGGACGCGTGGTCGCGACGTTACGGCGGGTTGGTGCCCGAGATGCTGAAAATTTAATCGCTGCCACGCGCGCTCTGGTCCGCCCGAAGGTGGACGTGGAGGACGACGACGATGATAATGACGAGGGTGAATGGAGCAGGAAATGTGGCCCACGTCGATGACGGGGAATCGGATCTTGCCACAGGTTCCTCTCTGTGAAAATTACGATCGGAGAGTTATCGGTAGTTAGAAAATACCGCACCGATCCAGTTCACACCGGATTATGTCAGCCACGGAGGAACGTGGTCGACATAGCCATTCATTCAGGGGCGGTCGCCCGTTCCGTTCGTTCGTTCTCTTTCTTTCTCGCGTTCTCTTTCTCTTTCTCTCTAACGCTCGGTGTCGCGCGCGCGGGCATTAAACGCTCGAGTTTAAGCACGCGCCGTACGGCCACCTTTGCTCGTGGCTATTATACGGTATACCTTCCGTCCTCGCACTCACTTCAGAGGATCGTTACGGTGTGATCAGTGTGCCCGACGTTATCGCGACGAGCTGGTCCTCTTCAGCGGCGACGCGATTCGTCACACGGCGAGTACCACGCGAGCGCGATCCTCGGTATGCACACGTCGGCCATGCGATGGCACAGCGGAAACGTCAGTGAACGAACCACGGTGAACCGTGGACGTTGCCGCACACGAGACAAAATGGGAAGCAAAAAGACTCCACTTCGAGGCCGCCCAGTTGCCAACACGAGCGCGCACGACGCCACGATCGTGAAATGTGATGAAATGTGAATTGCGCGTTCGCCATTGGCTACCGTCCTTATCGACCGCGCGCGCCTTTAGGCTGCCCTCATATGAATATCGGTAGTAGCGATACCGAATTGTGGACCAAACTTCGTCGTAAATTATCATAAATTTTTAGAATATTTAGTTTTAGAATATTTAATTAAAATTATCGAGATGACTCATGAACCTTTTTAATCGCACTTTATAACTCCTTCATACGAAAAATTATATTACGAATTTTTTAGATGAAGTGAAAATTACAAAAATGAGCAAACTCACTAGGTGTTAACTAATGAAGTTATAAATATTTTAATAAATTCGATTACTTTCGAAATTTTCACCGTTTCAAGAACCATAATAAACCCCAAGATCTCTCTTCAATTTTTCTTTATTCAATTTAATTCTAGCTAAAGGTGCTTTCGCATGAGAGTTTGCATCCTTGTTAAAATTTAAGTGATTAATACTCAATTCCAGTAATGTAAGATTTATAACTTCAGAGATTGAATCGTAGTTCAATTTTACTCTTTATCTTTTTCTAATTTTTAGGATTAAGAAAAGATAAACAGTAAACCAAACTGACATGTTTCACTAGGCGTTTCGATACGCTTGAAAACAGTGCGCGCTATTTTATTGAGAAACTTGATGCCAAATTTTTACACTTAAGTGCAAAATTTGGCACGAGCTTCAAACAGTAGAGTTCGATCAAACCGAAAATGAATGTTGATCGGTTGTCACTCAATTTTGGCCTAAAACCGAAACCAAAATTTTGAAACCGAAACTTAATTTAAATGAATCTTATTAGAGAGAAAGAGAGAGAGAGAGAGAGAGAGAGAGAGAGAGAGAAGAGCTACCGGAATCATATTTTTTTCAAAATCATATTTTTTTCGACATTTTTTTATTAATTTTACAGACACTGTATAATGCCGCCTCTACTAGAAGAAAGCTGCAACAATTGGTAGAGCAAAAATAGAGGGGAAAATTTTCGATGTTGCCAGGGACATTTTCGATGTTGCCAATTGTATCTCTGGCTCCAAGAGGAGATATCGGTTTAATGCAATATGGCAGCACAGAAAGTTGAAAATGTTTTCACGGCTCGGCTTGAATTGCTTGATTTGTTGTTTTCGTCATCGTCCTATCATAGGATGCATTCAGAACGATAACCGTTCAGCGCTCATAAGGCGCATTCAGCAGACTCAATAGTTGAGTGTTCACTGTTATTGGTGTATTCTTTTAGATCATCCAATCAGAATTTTAAATCTAGAAAAAGACAAATAGCAGCGAGCGCTCATTTAACTGTTAACGCAGATATAGTTGAAAAAAAAACGACTATGATTGGTTAATTTTTTACGGCTCGCGAGCTTTGTAGAACAAGTTTTATTCTGAATCTACAATAGATTTTTAAGATCCAGTTGTTTCATTTTTTGATAAATTTAGATAAATCTGGCAACCGCGCATGTAATCTTAGATTGGTAATCTTAAGACCCTAAGTCTTAAGCCATAAAAATGAACGAATCACAATGAATCAGGAATTCCGCACAACAAAAGAAACAGGGAACAGAGAATAAGAATTTCAATCTATCGGAAACTGTGTATTCCACAATGCATGATCTCTGATAGGTTGAAATTTTTATTTTCTATTCTCTGTTGCCTGTTCCTTTTATTGTGCGGAGCCCCTTATTCTCTTCACATTCGATTATAGTTAGTCAATTTCTTATGGCTTAACATTTAAAGCACCTATTGTAAATCCGAAGCTAAATTTTCACGAGTTGTTCTAATCAACGGTTTTAGCAACAAAAAATGATCACGTGATCAAAATGGATGCTTGATATTCGTCAATTTTAGCCACGTGATCTTTTTTGTCGCTGAAACAGCCAGCGTTTGAGCAGCTCGTGAAAATTTACTTTTAAATTGCCTTTTCATGCGCAGCACGCTGCAGTAGCAAAAATATTACGTGATGTAAAATTTTCATAATTGTTTCAATTGCATTTGCTGCTCAAAAAGCAAAACATTAAAATTTCTAAAATTAGAATAAACTGTAATTTTCTTAATTATAAAATCACTTTACAATAATCATTTCAAAAAATTACAATAATTGTGATTATTATTCACGTCTCGATGTCAATCGGAAATTGAGATCATAACTTATTTTTACATATTAAACTTATTAATATTTATTAAAAATAATTAATTAATTATAATTAATTATAAATATATTTTCTCATTCGAGATGCCATTCTTTGTTAAATTTTTTTAAATATCTGTTGCGATAATATTTCCATTTTTTTTTTTTACAAATATTTCGGACTTTCTCGATTTCGAAAGCCCTTTGTTCGTTTAGTGCCATTTTCTGATCAATGTTCGTTCGATTGAATTGTGAGCAAAATGCATTTTGCGCCAGAAGTAGCGGAAGTGCGTCATTAAAAATTTTTAACCAATAATAACGAATTGCTGCCGCAGTATATGAAAAATCATCCTTCTTTCCACTATAAATCAAACTGGATCAAATTTCTGATTAGTTGATCAACTACTTTTTGTCCAGGATATCTAGAGGGAGTAGGTTAATTAGTACCATTACGATAATTTCGTTTATCATCTATACAATATCCTGTGAATCTGTAATTATAATTTAGAGAATTCTCTCTACATTCTGAGGAAATAAACGAGATAATTCTAAATGCAGAGAGAACGATCAGGACAATTCTCTTGCTGCAAAATACCCACAATCATTTTTTGTCCTTCGTCCAATAAGGACAATAAATCCAATAAATAAAGAGAGCGAGAGAGACAGGTTGCCCCATCTATCATTTATAGGTCGTCGTAACGGACGCGGACGGCGGACCATGGGCAAAAACCAAGCAAAAAGGCAATGGCGGCTACCCGTTGGACGGCCAGCGAGCTTGGCTACGTGAAAAATCTCCGAAAAATATGATCTACGCGTCGCGATTGACGATCGTAAATTCAAGGTACGTTTTCCGTAACCATTCCTGTCTCGAGTGATAATGTTCGCGACACGGTGCGGCGCGTCCGGGACAACGCTAGAACGAACTCTGGCAACATCAACATGTGGATCCCAAACGATTTGATCGGAATAAGACGACTTGTTACGGAGAATTTGAAGTAATCTCGACGCTCGACCGTATATGCTGCAGGTCGAACTTATCGTCCATGTGATCGGACTGAATCTTTCTCGTACCATAAGCTCTGGTGCATCAGCCAGACTAACGCGATAATTTTGTGCTAAACAAATGTCATGTGCTTGACAGTAACACGTTTGTTTATCAAATTTGATAGCTGCGCCGATTTGCCGATTTTCAATGATGTAGTATCGAATAAAAAATATAAAAATATGTCTAGAAATTGCTCACTTCCTGAGATGTTACTATTGATACATCTCTTGTCGAAGTTACATTTCAATGTCACAAATTTAATTGATTGAAATAATGTGTATTAAATATTTATAGCTCTAATGTTTCTATTTTTTTTGTTATATTAATTTTATTATAAACTTCAAATGGTTTATTCCAAATTATTTTAACCCTTCGGCACTACTCTGTAATTTTCTACATAATTTATATTCTGTGCCATTTAGAGAATCAGCATATATGTTTTATAGTTCCAGACTATATAAAAATCTGAAAAAAATTCTCATATACTTGAAATCTTTAGCAATAATAAGTTTTACTATAATAAAAACTAGATGATATTTTATTAATTTTTCACATTGAAATTTGAATAAGAGTTTTAAGAAAATATGATATTGATTGTACCTTAAAATATACAGTGGTACTGGAAGAACAAGTATAAAGTATAAGTTTAAGTATAAGCCTTTAAGTATTTTCTTTTATTAACAGGTGTATGGCTTGAAGGTGGAGAAGTATTTTTGCCTGCAAAGGTAGAAATGGCACATGGTATATGCAGAGGATGGCTGATAGACGAATGGACTTGTTATTGAATCGATTAGACAATGAATGGTGGCTGGTAAATCAAATAGAAAGATACGACTGCAGGCAGGAAGGAGTAAATGAGTGCGCGCACCTAAGTAATGAGCGAGACTCGGCATTATCCTATTCGTTCGGTCTCGGACTTATACGCAGCCGAGGAAATAGAAGTGCTTCTTCTAGAAGAGATACGCGACCTGGAGTCACCACCTGCTATATATTCTAAACCCGAAGACATTCAAGACTTCGAAATTGGTATGTGTTTCAATGTTTTAATTAATATTTGTGTATTATTTAATATCACTTCAATATGGAATTTTATACATAAACAAAGTTAAAATTCCATATCTGCTATATCAATAATTGTTTTATGGTCACTTTGTAATATCAAGATAATGTATAGTTATTAAAATTTTAACACTGATTTGCCTTTCTATTTTTTATTAGAGTTATTGTATATCTATATAACTGCATATACGAATATATACATGGTTTTAATATTGTATCAATAGCAGGCAGTAGGACAGGGGGGCAAATCAGCTCCCAATCATCAGAGCTGGATTCGCCAGGGGTGAACTCGACAGTCCACTCTTGGGATTCGCATGCTAATTATCACGGTCACTATGGTAATAGTGATCATAGACCTGGCTCATCAAACACCATGCCTTGGTCTCGTGCAAGTCATGTGGTTATTTACTGCGACATACAAGGACATCTTAAAACACCTACGGGTGTTGTTAGACTCTTATTACTTGTGAGTGTAAAGTCACTTTTATGTAGAAACTATATGACAAACTCAAAGTTTGAGCTACTACAATTGTTATATATAGATAAATTAATGAGCGCATTTCGTAGATATCTTCTGCAGCTTGTTTGGCAACTTTATGCAGTTCTGGCACTGCCAAGGTCAGCATTTTTATGCTGCCTTTAGCAGATCGTTTACGATTCATGATCTTTGTAGCTGTTTTCTGTTTCTTGGTCACTGCAGCTCT